GAGAGAGCCAGATGCAATCATCAAAAGAGCCACACCTGGCTCGCGAGCCACAGTTTGCCGACCCCTGGACTAGTCCATAGGCAGAATGATACTTTGCGGGTTACCATAGGCACGCTTGAATGCCCTGCTCCCGGGTGAGCAGGGCTACGCCATGCACACGAGGCATTAACTCAGGGCTTACATGATCGGTGGACAGGTGAAACCCGAAGTCCTGAACGTCAGTTTAGGCGGCAACTTAGTATCGCCTTTACCCGTTCTCATTTTATAAGTCCTTTGCACTCACAGGCAACGCCAGTGATGTGTGTCGTTTGGTGCCAGTGCAATTGCACATTGCATGTGCACTTTCAATTACTAGCAGCTGACTCACGCTTAGTCGAGTGTCTGCCATCGACCGATTACCTTGAAGCGCAGTCTCATTCTATTTTTGGAGTCCGCCAGAGATCACGTAGTGATAAACACCTTGAGAGTTGGCAAGGGGAGGGGGGTTACCCACAGGTAGCTGTGTGATCGATGACAGACACTTTGCGTTGCCGCGTCACCTGTTCACTGCTAATGTCAACTCCGCACTGCCGCGCTGCAGGAACTGTGCGATAACATTCCGCAACACTACACATTTTGCTTATGTGTTGCAAGCTACGTCAGCGTTTGTAGTAGTGTTAGTATTGGTAATCAATATTATTAGTAATACTACTAACCTATACAGTTAAATCTACACTACATATATCTTGGTATCCCAAGCTGTAAGCCGCAAAGGCTTTGTCAAAGGCGGGGGGTTAAATGAGGCCGGATCGCGGGAGACCTTTTACTTCTGGGTGTGTCTGCAGTAGTATACCGCAAAGGCGCCAAAGCATACGTGTTCATTACCAGAGAACAGGAACGCAACCGACAATGAGGCGTGCTCTGCTATATAGCAGGGAGCCAGAAGGTTGATCGTTCTAATACGTTTTGCTCAAAGGTTTCAGTGAGCATGACAAGCAGGTTGCTGATCCCGCGTGAACTGAAAAGTTGACCGGGCTAACCACGGAGACTGTTTACTTGAACTGATTGGCCATTTGGCGGCGAAGTGAATGCGCTTAGCAGTGATTGGGAGACGCGGTGGATATTTGCATATACCATAATGGGATTAAAGTGCACGGTCGACGTAAAGGCAAGCCTATGCCAGTAAATTAATTTCGCATCCAGAACTGTACTTTATTGGCAGTCGATTTACAGCGCAGTGGTTGCGATCTTTCAGGCAAAATCGCAAGAACTACAAGAGCAAGCGCGTATGAGCCTCAAGCAATTGGAAACTGATCTCCAGTTTTGGAAAGTCAACGTGCAACGCTTCGATATTCCAACCGACTGTCTCCTAGGAGTAGTTGCTGCTGGAAACGCCCTCCATGAGGTGACATCTGACGCCAAGGTGTTATTTGACAACCTAAAGGTGAGCGAAGAATCTTAGTTTGATTTGGATATCCATTCGGAAAGCATCGTTCCTAAGGCTTACCTCTT